CCCCCTCCCCTCTCCTTTTCCACCTCTAGTAACCACAGTTCTGCTCTCTCCTTCTGAAAGTTCAATGTATTAATGTGATTGGTCAACTTTGTACTCCACAAATATGCATAATCAATTACCTTTCAATACAAAATAAATTGGGGAAAAATGTAAATAAATAAAAATGGGCATTTCATTTGTTATTAATAAATGTGTGGTACATGTTTCATATATTATTGTTTGTGTATTAAATGCATTAAATTAAGATATGCAGGAGAAAGAAAAAACAATATAGGGTGCTATTGACTAATTTCTGTGTCCCCTCAAAACCCATATGTTGAAGCCCTAATCTCCAATGTGATGATAATTGGAAGTGGGCCTTTGGGAGACAATTAGGTTTAGATAAGGTCATGAGAGTGGATCCCCCATGATGGAATTAATGCCCTTATAAGAAGATAAAGAGACCAGAGCTCTTTCTCCCCCAGGTGAGGACATGGGAAGAAGGTGGCCATCTACAAGTGAAAAAGGAGGCCCTCACCAGAATCTGACCATGCTGGCACTCTGATTTTGGCCTTCTAGCCTCCAGAACTGTAAGAAATAAATTTTTATTGTTTAAGCCACCAAGTTTGTCGTATTTGTTATAGCAGCCAAAGTCGACTAAGACTTAAGGTCACAGTATCAGACAGAGAGAATCACTCCTGGAAGCAAGATATGATTTAGCCCTTCGGTTCTCAACTAGGAGTAGTTTTGTCCTGTTTCCCTCAGTAGGAGACATTTGGCAATATCTGGAGACATATCTGGTTGTCACAAAAGGTGTGTGTGGGGGGTCAGACAGCCCACCCACCCCCCCATGACAAAGAATTATACAGCCAAAAATGTCAATATTGCCACGGTTGAGAAACTCCTATTTAACCTAATAAACCAACTACACCCTATAGAATACTTATAAGATCCTGAAGTTTCCATAGCTTTGTATATTAACTCAATTGAAAAGGAGTTAAACTGTGTGAGTTTGTTGGCCAGTATGACAACATACTGAGAAAGCTGTTTCCTTCTGCTGATCCTCCCATTACTATATGAGGATCTCATATCTGTGATGAAATAGTATGTTTGTGCCTTACACCACAGCAGTCATTGATGAGCAGCAGCCATGGCTCTGAGCTAATCCATGGCCATGGACCTCAACAAGGGTCACAAGGTAAGCAAGAATGTGGGCAAGCCCAGGCACAGCCACTGCCATCACCACGATCGCTGCCTCCTCACCCAGCATACCAACTTCACATGGGACATGATCCAAAAAGCATGTGGCTTTGCCTCATACAAATGATGCACCATGGAGCTGCTCAAGGTCTCGGAGGACAAGCGGGCCCTCAAGTTCATCAAGAAAAGGGTGAGGACATACATGTGTGCAAGAGGAAGCGAGAGGAGCTGAGCAATGTCCTGCTGCCATGAGGAAAACAGATACCAAAAAAGGACTGAAGCACCTCCTCCATATGTGCCTAATAAAACCTTTACAGAAAAAAAGAAACCCTGCGCATCTGTCCTTCATATTCAAGGGTCACCCATGATTTAGTTTAAAGGTATAGGAAAAAAGATAAAGTGCCTACTCTGTACCAGGAGCTGTTCTAGGTGCACTCACATATATCTTCCTTCATTAAAACCTAAATCACTACCCTCATTTTACAGATGAAGATCAGAGAGCTTCATCAATTTGCCAAACATCACACAGCTGGTAAGTGACAACTCAGTGACTACTATTCTAAGTGAGAATATATATTTTTAAACTCATTAATACTTTCTTGTCTATGCAAAGAAAATTTCTGAATCACTAATGATTGTTATTACTCAAAGAAAATTTCTGAATAATTAATAGCTTTTAAAGGGGTGAAGAGGGTGATCAGCTTTCTTACCATATATCTTTCTGTATTATTGGAATTTTCAGTAAGCATATGAGGTTACTTCAAAAAGTTGATGGAAAGATTCATATTATAGTTTAATTCTATTTTCCATGAACTTTTTGAAGAACGCTTGTATATCACTTTCATTTGAGAACTAATAAATAAAAATAACGTGAAAGACTGAATTAAAAAATCACTGACATGCTTCTCAGGCTAATTTTTTATTAACCCTCAGCAAAATTGTAACATAAGAGATGATCCCTAGCACATGTATCCATTCTAACCCAATTTCCCACTCAGTATCCCTATGCTAAAACTTGTTCACTTAACCACATTTCAAAAGAGGATCTTATAAAGTTATTCACATTAAGATTAAATCTGTTATTATTTCATGTTATTTTCACTGAGTAGAAGACTTTTTCAGGTCAAAATATGACTCTATGTTTATGTCTAATATCAGATTGGTAGAAGAGGTTTGGGGGCAAAGCTTTTCTTCTCTTGTGGTCCTGAAACTGCACTCTATACATAACCATCTACTCAGGCAGCTCTTAAGGATGGACTCTGCCTTGTGAGCCCTCTGTCAAGGCTCCAAAATGGGATGGGACAGAGTGGAGAATGGGGCAATTAGTTATTGAGGGGAACCATGACTGGCATGTACAACTAATCCCAAGTACACAAAAGTTTATGGCTTGAAGGCACCAAAAGACCCACCACCAATACTTATATGAGGGTACTTCAAAAGTTCATGAAAATATTCATATTACCTTTCAATTCTATTTGTCCATGAACTTTTTGAAGTATCCTCATATATATATATATAATTCAGTGTAGTGAGAACTGAGGGTAAAGTCAAATTCTTTCCTAAGCTTTAGAAAGTCATCACTCTTTCAGAGCTAACCTTCCTAATTTGTGTGAGTGCTTTGATCACATACATGCTTTGAGAGTCCCAGCACACTTCCATTCCCTCAAACCCCTTCCCAGACCCCTTACCCCAGCTCTCTTCGACTATAGCCAAAGACTACCATAGAATGATCAAGGGTGAGAGGTTGATTCAGCGTGAACAATATCCCACTGTATCCCACTGTAATGGCTTGAATTGTGCCCCCAAAAAGATATGTTCAAGTCTCAATCATTGGTACTGAATATGACCTTATTTGGAAACAGGGTCTTTGCAAATGTAATCAATTAAAATAAAGTCACACTAGATTAGGGTGGGCCCTAAATACAATGACTGGTGTCTTTTAAGGAGAGGGAGATTTGAAGACAAAGACACACACAGAGGGAAGGCACACATGGAAGAGGGAAGCAGAAATTGGAGTGATGCTGCTACAAGCCAAGGAACAGCAAGGATTGCCAACAACCATCAGAAGCTAGGAAGATGCAAAGGAGGATTTGTCTCTGGAGCCTTCAGAGGGAGCATGACCCTGCTGACACCTTGGTTTGGGACTGGACTCCAGAACTGTGAGAATAAATTTCTGTTGTTTTAAGCAACCCAGTTTGTGGTAATCCATTATAGCAGCCCTTGGAAATTACTATACCCACATTTCCAGACTGTCACATCACCATACTTTTTGATAAGGAAACACAGGAAAACAAACACACACACACACTGGTTACAGCTATGTATTCAAATGCTTGGGTAACAGCACACATGACCACATGTTTCCCTCATGAAGTGACTTCTTCCACGTGCTAATTTTAAAATCCTTCTAGGAAATGTAGAAACTACAGTTTTATTGTAATGAATGGAGTCTCTACCACAGCATCCAAGTTAGAATTAGGAAGGACTGAAACAAAGAGGAGCCTCTTGGCCCCAACTTCAATAAGTTATATTCTTAGCCTTTACAGAATAAACATACGAATGAAAATAATTTTTAAAACATTTACTCCAAAACTATTACCAAAGACATTGTCCATCATGCCACTTATTTGCCCTCTTTTAAAAAATGCCATGTTTCATTGTATCAGATAATCAGAATTTTTCACCCCGTCACTACATAGCCTCTCCACTGGTCTCCATGTTTCCATTCTTAACCTCCTATACTCCATTCTTCCACAGCAGGCAGAATGATCACTTCACATGTAAATTAGATCATGTCAATACCCTGGACAAAAGCAGTCTAGGGATTCCCATCACACTCAGAATAGAATGAAAAACCTTTCCAGGGCTTGCCAGATCAAAAATGCTCTGTCCCAGGTTATCACTTTGACTTCACGTGCCCCTGCTTTCCCTTCTCTTGCGCCACTCTTGTCACGCCAGCCTCTTTGTTGCCGTCCCTGCACTCTAAGGGCCTCTGAGCTTATTGTTGCCCCTTCCTGGGATGCTCTTCCTCCTGTTCTCCATATGGCCTATACCATTGCTTCATTCAGATCTCTACTCAACGTCACTTCCTCTGAGAGTCCTCACCACCCCTTCTAAAATACCACCCCCTAAGTCCCTATTCCCTGAATTGCTTCTACTTTTTTCTCATGGCATTTATTTACCTCCTGACATTACATTATATGTTTAATTGTTTATTTTTTCATCATCTGTGTTCCTTTAGTAGAATATAAGCTCTCAGGGATTTTGGTCAGATTTGCTCACTACTGTATCTTCAGTGCTTAGAACAAAGTCCATCATAGAATAGGTACTCCACAAATAATTTCCTGAATCAAAAAATGAATGAACGGATTTTACAAATTGATTTATTTTTTTTTCCCTGGTTGATAGGAATCCTAATATTAAATTTAATGGTGAATCATAGTAACATCCTAGCCTTCATTGTGAGCATACATGCTTCTTCCTTTTTTAGTACAATGATATTCTACTCTTATTCTATTAATATCATATATCCCCTTTATTATATTTCTAAATATTTTGGAATGTGACAGAAAGACACACCAATAGGCAGGTAGGTTGGGTGCCTGGGAGGCAACCTACACTAAGTGGAAAAGGGTGTATTTATTAATTAGCAGTAATGCTTAAATGTGACACATAACAGATTTGAGTAAGATACAAGACAGGCGTCAAGCTAGAAACCCAAATCTTTGGCTACAGGTTGATGCTTGGAAGCCTGGAAAGAGCCAGATTAGAGTAAGCCAAAGGGTACAGCAGATCCAGTGAAAGAGGGAAGCAAGTTTTACCTTTTCATTCCTGCAGTTGTTCAGTCCCATATTATTCATGGAGGACAGTTTCCCATCAACACCATGTGGTTGTTGTTGCTGTTGCTCTCGCTGGATCTGTTCTCGCATCTTCCGAGCCTCCTGAATTGCTTTCATCACTGTATCCTGATCCCCAAACAGGGCAGGGGAGTTGAGACTGGATAGGATATCTGCATATATAGGATGTATTATTAGAGGGTTGTGAGGTGAGACTCAAAAAGTAATGCTACTATGCACTCCCCTGTAGAATACTGTATTCTCCCATCAAGGAAGGGGCACATTTGCTATTAAGAAAACTGTACAATAGTGTGCATAGAGCATAAAAAGCTAGGGTAAACAAGCTCTGCTCGGTATTTTCAGCCCTTGGAGGATATCCCAGCACTCCAGTCTCTCTAGGTTCTGTCTACCCACCTCCTCACAGATGAAGGTTCCTAGATTCCAATTGTGTATATATTGAGGGAAGATATCTGTTCTTGCTATATCTACAATTAGCGTACAATCTTGCCACTTCTGTGGGAGAGCAGTGGGGAGAAACGGGGCTGGGGAGATGAGGAGATGGCAGAGATGCCTATCCAGGCTACCCATTGTATTTGGTGTGCTAATGCAGGAAAGCTGTTTCCTGCTTAGCAAAAAAAAAATTAAAAAAAGAAAGAAAGAAAAGAAAAAGCTTGAAGCTACATGTGTGCTTTAGTGACATAGTATCTGTGTATTCATATGTCCACTGCAGGAGAGAGGGGGTGGGAGAAACACACTGCACTCTCTACTCCCCAGTTGCCAGCTGGTTAATGAGGCGTTCTTCTCATCGTGTTGCCTCAGTTATTTACCAAGAGAATGACAACCCATTCCCCGCACCAACTCGAACACCCACTGCTCACAGCTCCCTGTCTTCATGACAGTGAGGCTATAAGTGTGGAAATGATTTCCACATAAGTACCAAGCTTCAAATAAAGTGAGAATAAATATTTACTTCCATTATATTTCATGCAACACAGAGGGAAAAATTCAAAATTAAACTAATTTTCCTCCATATCTCGCATTTCACTATAGGTAAAATGAATACTTTGCGTAAATTTTTCCAGTTTTAGACAAAAAGAGGGCAATTGATGATTGATAGATTTCAGCTGCTACGAAAAATTTTAACATGCTCCACTTGTTCGAGGCCTGGTATGAGCATTTCACAGCACATGTACATAGGGATGTGTGTGTGGGTGTGTGTGTACACACTTCACACAGACAGATGGGACAGAGGAAACCAGACTACAATCAGGCTCACATGTGCATAGGCATTTGAGTTTGGAAAAAATGTCCAAGAATCTTTATGGAAAACTTTGAAAAAGTCAGTCACTTTTTAGGATATAGAAAACTCATATCTTTTGTTCTGGAGCTTTTTTGATAAAAAGACCATTTTTTATCCAGTATTATCTAAACCGGAGTGCTGTCCAAGCACAGGTGCTATTACTCCAGCCTGTTTCTAGCTAACAAATATGCTCTGCATATCTTATTTTCTTACAAAAATAAGTTTTGTAAGAACTAAGGCCTGTGACATAGTCGTCTCCGTCCCTCACAATGCTCAGTACAGCAAACAAATGCTTTCCAGACAAAATTCAGAAGTGGATTATAGGAGGGCCATTTCAAGATCAAGTCTATTAATTATGTTGGCTTTTTTCCCTCATCTCACAACTTCCGAATAGCCAGCCAATGGATATTCTTCATATTCACAGGCTGGAAATAATTCACTTCTCTCTTCTACGTGAATACCACACCACTTTCTTGGGGTGAAAACCTCTGGGTCCCTGAAAGAGGCATCCTGTCTCAAAATGAAAACAGGCCGCTGTCCCAAATTTCAATGAGGAAGACTTACATCTTACTCTCAGAAGATTCACTCATACTCAGTACAGTTCAGCAAATATTCCAACTGTGAGTTTACAAAAAGAACACTGATTTATGTGTAAGAGGACTTGGGTTTAGTCCTGGTCCTGTTATTAGCTATAGGGTTACAGGCAAGTCATTCTACCTGTAAGAACCACAATTTACTTAATCTGTACAATGAGGGTAATAATAACACACTACCATAACTCATAAGATTATTGTGAAAAATCAAATGAAATAAAATAAGCAAGAATTTTTTTTTAACTGTAAATGGCTCCACTTACACATTATTTCATCTATTGTAATAACCATTTCAGACTCCAGTATCTGTACAATGAGGGTAATAATAACACACTACCATAACTCGTAAGATTATTGTGAAAAATCAAATGAAATAAAATAAGCAAGAATTTTTTTTCAACTGTAAATGGCTCCACTTACACATTATTTCATCTATTGTAATAACCATTTCAGACTCCAGGATTCAATAATGCAAGGAAGATAATATGGGGAACAAATGTTAGGTCTAGTCCCTAATCACTTTGAATCTCTGTATCTGTACTTGGAAATTAAGAGATTTAAAGAGTATAGTAACAATAATGTTAGTACTTATTTAGCATTCTCCCACTGACAGTGCTTTCACATTTATTGTTTTATTCCACTGATATATGTATATGGGTTGGTATTCATTCACTCCAGTTTTTTTAAATTGAATGTCTTCTAGGTGCTAGGTACTTTATATGCATTTTCCTCCTTTAATCCTCATAAAAACCTGTGAGCTAAGTTAACATTACTCCCCTTTCAGAGATTAGGAAACTAAATTTAAAAATATTAAATAATTGTCCCAGGGTCACATAGCAAGTAAGTGAAGGCTCTCAGTCCAAGCCTCATTTCAAAACCCATGCTTTTTCCTCCATACTTTTCACACAGTGAATATCCCTAGAGATACTTGGCAATAGAGTTGACTCTTGAACAACACTGGTCAGAATTGTATGGGTCCACTTATATGCAGAAATTTTCCAATAAACACACTGAGAAATTTGGGCTTAGGTATGTCACAAATACCCAATATCTGTTGGTAAGTAGCCTACCTAACAGTAGGCTTTTAGCAGTTAAGTTGTTAAGTTTGGGGGAGTCAAAAGTTATACTTGAATTTTCAACGGTATGGGGCTTGGTGCCCCTAACCCCCATGTTGTTCAAGAGCCAGTTAAATACGACGTAATAACTTCGTATAGCATACATTATACGAAGTTATACGATAAGATCCTGAAGTTTCCATAGCTTTGTATATTAACTCAATTGAAAAGGAGTTAAACTGTGTGAGTTTGTTGGCCAGTATGACAACATACTGAGAAAGCTGTTTCCTTCTGCTGATCCTCCCATTACTATATGAGGATCTCATATCTGTGATGAAATAGTATGTTTGTGCCTTACACCACAGCAGTCATTGATGAGCAGCAGCCATGGCTCTGAGCTAATCCATGGCCATGGACCTCAACAAGGGTCACAAGGTAAGCAAGAATGTGGGCAAGCCCAGGCACAGCCACTGCCATCACCACGATCGCTGCCTCCTCACCCAGCATACCAACTTCACATGGGACATGATCCAAAAAGCATGTGGCTTTGCCTCATACAAATGATGCACCATGGAGCTGCTCAAGGTCTCGGAGGACAAGCGGGCCCTCAAGTTCATCAAGAAAAGGGTGAGGACATACATGTGTGCAAGAGGAAGCGAGAGGAGCTGAGCAATGTCCTGCTGCCATGAGGAAAACAGATACCAAAAAAGGACTGAAGCACCTCCTCCATATGTGCCTAATAAAACCTTTACAGAAAAAAAGAAACCCTGCGCATCTGTCCTTCATATTCAAGGGTCACCCATGATTTAGTTTAAAGGTATAGGAAAAAAGATAAAGTGCCTACTCTGTACCAGGAGCTGTTCTAGGTGCACTCACATATATCTTCCTTCATTAAAACCTAAATCACTACCCTCATTTTACAGATGAAGATCAGAGAGCTTCATCAATTTGCCAAACATCACACAGCTGGTAAGTGACAACTCAGTGACTACTATTCTAAGTGAGAATATATATTTTTAAACTCATTAATACTTTCTTGTCTATGCAAAGAAAATTTCTGAATCACTAATGATTGTTATTACTCAAAGAAAATTTCTGAATAATTAATAGCTTTTAAAGGGGTGAAGAGGGTGATCAGCTTTCTTACCATATATCCTGTACTAATATCTAAATAACAGTAATTTATATGCTAAGTATTTAGTTTTCTCTATGTTTCTTTTTCTTGAGGTTCACTGAGCTTCTAAAATATCTGATTTTAGAGTTTTCATCAAATTTGTAAAATTTTCAGCATTACTTCTTCAAAAATAAATTTTTGTTCCTTCCTCCTCCTTCTGGGGCTCCAATTACATATATTAGGTCATTTGATGTTGTGCCATAGTACTGACCAGTCATTTTTCTATGTGTTTCGATTTTAGAGTTTTATTGTTATGTCTTCAAGTTCGCTAACCTTTTCTTCTGCAGTATATAAGCTGTTGTTAATCCCTTCCACTGTATTTTTCATCTCAAACACTGTATTTTTATCTCCAGAAGTTTAATTTAGATTTTCCATATCTTGCCTAATCATGCTCATGTTTTCCTCTATCTTCCTTTTTTTTTTTTTGTCCTTTTTGAGACCGGCCACACCGCGCTCAGCCAGTGAGCTCTGTGAGCACACCGGTCATCCCTATATAGGATCCGAACCCGCGGCGGGAGCATGGCGCTCCCAGTGCCGCACCCTCCCGAGTGCGCCATGGGCTTGGCCCTCCTCTATCTTCTTAAACATATGTAGTTAATAACATCTTTTTCAGTTTTAAATATGCTCTAATTGTTACTAATTTTTGTAACTCAATGATTGCCACTTCTACCAACAATGCAACTGGGCATGGGCATCACCTACCAACTCCCAATTAGGTAAATCCACTGTGGCAGAGAGACTGTAGTTCCTCACAGCCTGCCCCAGCACTGACAGAAACTTTGTGCTAACCAAGCCTGGGGGTAGGGGAAATAAGAAAAACCCTAGGCAAGAATGCCACAAATTCCCACTGTTCTTGCATATAAGAAGCACAAATGTTTTCTCAGCTTGTATATGTCTTTGGTCAATTTCCAGAGTGCTGAAATGATTATTTTTGTTAATTTGTGCAGCTTCACTGTTGATTTTATTTTTACCAATTTTATTCATTTTGTCAGTTTTGTTGATTTTATTTTATTTTTGTCAAGTTTTATTTTACTTTATGTTTGCCAATTTTGTCTGCTCTCTATAAAGCAATAGCTTTTTAGAAAGCAGATTTGCCTACCTTTTTACTTGGTTCTAGTTGGAAGTCTCCTGTAATAGCTATTTTTACTGTTTTATCTACTAATTCTATCATCTGAGTCATTTAGAGATCTGTTCCTGTTGACTGATTTTTCTTCTCATTATTCATATTTTCTTGCTTCTTTGCAAGTCTGGTAATTTTTGAATGGATGCACATATTGTAAATTTTATATTGCTGGGTGCTGGAATTCATGTATTTCTTTAAATATCTGTGGACATTGCTTTTGAGACACAAAACAATTTGATTCTTTCTAGGCTTACTTTTAAACTTTGTTAGGCAGGTTCAGAACAGCCAATAGTCTAGGGATAACCTGGCCCCACTATTGAGGTAATACTCTTCTGGGGACTCTATCTGATGCCCCATGTATGAGATCTTTCCATTCTGGCTAATGGGAATGCAAACCATTCCCAATCTTTTAAGAACCTTGCAATTGTTTTGCCTTGCACATTCTGGTGTTTCCCTGGCCTCAGGCAGTTTCCTCACAAGCAAGTGCTGGTCAGTATTTCACTAAATACTCAGGGAACCATCTGCAGATCTTCAGGGATCTCTCCCTGTGCAGCTCTCTCCTCTCTGGTAACCTGCCTCACAAATTCTATCTATATCAGCATCTGTAAACTCTGAATTTTATCTCTATATCCAAGGAGCCTGCCAAGTCTCCTACACAGTTGCTTGGAAACTCTCTAGACAGTGAACTGGAATAACTGGAGTGTTTGCCCCACTTATTTCTCTTCTCTCAGGAATCACTGTCCTGTACTCCCTTTGCAAATGTCTGAAAACCATTGTTTTATATAGTTTTGTCCTGAATTTTAGTTGTTTAAGCTGGGCAAGTAAATCTGGTCCCTGTTCCTCCATCATTGTTAAAAATGGAAATCCTCTAGGTGTTTGGTTAGGATCTCTCTCAGTATACAACTAGACATTTCAAAAACCATTAAAACTACCACACCATCTCCTTTATTACCATCATGAGCATCATCATCATCACTATAGTAACATTTCTGGAATACTCGCAATATGCACAAGGATGTATTAGCTCATTTAAAGACCCATGATAATATTAACTCCCATTTTACAGAGGAACAAACTAAGGCTGAAAGAAATTAAGTAACTTCCCCTTTTAATAGCTAGTAACAGTGGCAGAACTGGTATTTGGACAGAAACACTCTGACTTCTGCTGTTGACAGTTATAGTAGATAAAAATTCTGGGGAAAAGAAGATACATAAGGCCTTTTGTGTTTATGTTTATTTTTGTTACCTTTAGCATACTTTGCCCTATGTCACACTTGAACTTAAAATAAGTGGTCATGTTATATACAGAGGGAAAGCAATGAATATAGAAAAAACATAAGAAATTTTGGTGACCATAAGTCTTTCAATTAGCAAACTATGAGATTATTTTCAGAACTTCTTTAATAATAGACAGAAGCTATTTTATTTTTTAATTTAAAACATTTGCTTTACATCTTGGTCTATTTATTTTGAAACACATATAGCATAAACAACCTAATAAGTATAAGAAATGTTTCCTTTGTCATTAACATAAAGTATAGTCATGTCAAATTATATAGAGAACTCCCTAAGAATTTGCATGTGGTCAAGTGAGTAATAAAATTCATTTGGCCCACAAAGATGGAATGGCACAAGCAGATATAAACTTGAATTTAACCAAGGAACATTTTACTCATCCAGTAAAGGCTTGGTTTGGTGCAGTTCCAGTTGGCTAACTTACTTATGAAATGACTTTTTCATGTTAAAATATTTAATACTCAATGGCTCAAGTCACTAATGTTTGATACCCTCATACTCTAACAACTATGATTAAGCAAAGTGCCTTGATTTGAGCTGTAGTGTTCTGACCCCTATTCACAAACACAGACTCTTAGAACAAAAGATAGTCTCTTTCCATAAGTGATTCTGTATTATGAGACGTAAACTGCCTATTGTCATATTCTCAATATTTCTAACAAAACCTAAATGTTCACCTACTTCTTTGGAGAATCTAAAAGAATGGGTGGCATTAAATTAATTGTTCTGGGTGTAGCACAGGCAAAATTATTTCTCTTGATGTTCATTCACTGTTTTGATCTTTGGTATTTGAAATCCATGTTTTTAAAAGGCCTTTCTGAAATCTCAAAATTTCTATCTGTAAATTTTAGAAAACAAAACAATACCAGTGAGTGTACAGAATCCAATGATAAGTTTTATTTGTCTCAGCTGTTTCCCATGTGAAAATTTAATAACTGCAAAATTTCTCCAAATGCAGTACTTTTGTCACGTTACAATAAAGCGTCTATCCTTAGCATACCCCACCAAGTAGATAAGTCAATTATATAAAACAATTGTTTCTCTGAACTGTTTGAGTTTGGCAATTAAATATAGAAAGCAAACACAATCATAAAAACCAACCAGTACCACCTATAGGTACCAGCTGCAGCACAAAGTTGAAGTGGCTCATCAATTTCCCTCTGTCGCCAAGTATCTTCTGGCGGCCCAGTTTCAAGACACTGAAAATCAGTGAGGAAAGGCATCTATTATTGTCCCAGCCATAACTTGAGAAAGCCTGTTTTTCCTATTATAACGGTATGGTATCAAAAGCATGATTAGTCAGTGACACCACTCATTTCTCAGAGCTCACATTTGTAGCTAGATTTGAAGGAGAAACCTTCATCAACAAACCACATAAAGTCCAACATTTGATTCTTTTTTGTCCCCTTTCCTAAATCTAAGGTTCCAAGATCCTCCTTCTCTGGTACTATAAGTTGGCTCCCCACCTGTTTAAGGAACATAGAGAGAAGTGTCAGAAGTCTATGACAAAGACTGGCAATAAAACCATGGCCATTCATGCCAATGAACATTAAAAAATAAAAGCCAGAATCCAGAGGGGAAAAACTCTTGAGAAGTGAGCTTGCAGATTTAGGTAAAGGTCTCACAATACAGCACTATTGTTATCAAAAAGGAAACACCTGTTTCTCAATGTTCAATCATGAAATTTACCATAAAGAGGAGCATTTGGGGTTCCTTTATGTTCCTATGCTTCCTGCTGTTTATTCCCAACACAGCCTGGTTTGCTACCTTTCTTGTGAAGCTATTTTCCAAACTGTTTCCACAATCCTGCAAAGCAAGTACCTTAACTTGAGTTACAGGGCTGGTCCCTCTCTTTTCATTTTTTATCCCAGTAGGTGAGACTGCCCCTGCTGTGTTCGGTGGCTGTGGAGTGGATGGCATCTTTGCTCCAGGTGACACCTGCATGCTGGCCAGCTGAGCGGCATAGAGCTGCTGCAAAACAGGGAAGACAAACATTGATCTCTTTAAGTGCAGCTGAAATGGAGTTTAAAAAGAAAACAAAAAAATACCAACTTACCGTATTGTTAGATAACCATTTCTCTGACAGCCTTGCAATTTATTTTTCACTATTTTATAAAGAGGAAAATAAGAGAAACTAAATAATGTCACAGAAAGAAAGAGCACTGGCATGGGAGCCACAGTTCTGTACCTGGTCCTTCTAGCAATACCTTTATGACCCTGGACCTGATCTCTCTAGAACTAACTTGGTTTCTTCAATTGTACCAAAAGGAGTTTGACTAAGTAGTTTTGTCTCTAAGATACTTGCTAATGTCTAAAATCTTTATAAAAAGTTCCTTAAATGTCTGGTATATCCAGTCATGTAATTTTAATATTCAGGAACTAAGAAACTAACCTGAAATTTCCTAGGGATTCCTGAAAGAAGTACACCATTCTTCTTTCAGCACTGACCAAGCTTCTCTGGGGATTCTGATCTTTCTGGATAATGAGGGGTGCCCCAAGACCCCTGGGGCTCAATGGCAGTCACTCTTTTCTTAGGGTCTTATTTCTAGGTAGCATGTAACATAATCCTCAAGGGAATATGGCCAGATTTGTAGCAATTAAAGAAACAAAAATTTAAAAAATCAAGCTTCTTTTTCCCAGCACAGGAACCACCCACTTGCTTCTCAACCCAAACCAGGTAACAAAGTGCTTCCTTCATGCCCCAGAACAGATCACCTGGTTTCACCTCACTTCCTCCTCTGTGGAGACCATTCCCTTCAACTTATGTAACTGTTCTGACTGGTATTTATCTACTTACTTATAAATGCTTATACTGTTAGATTCATATCCACCTACTTCATACAATGGAAGACGAACGTTTAGCTCCTTACATCACCAACCCAACATGTGCTCCCATGCTTCCCTTCCTAATCTCTCAATGTTAGTATCACAAATTTTAAAATTAATGTTTACTGTTTTACATTATTCTATGAAGATACTATTCATAGTGGAGGTATGTAATGAACTATGTTTAATTTTCTCTTTCTCAACTTTTTATTTTGTTAGATTTAATATTTGCCTCATTTTTTGTTTTCTTAATTTTTTATGTTAACTATCACTAATTCCCAAACTCTCCAAGAGATGAGTAAAACTCTACACAACATGGTTGAATGTATCAGGCAATCTGTATATCCTATTTTTTCCCCTGGAGACATCCTTCTTGGAAATCTCTGTGTTCCTACTCCAATCTGAACTGGTTTATTCTTTAGGCCTTCTGCAGATCTATGATACTCGGAATTCCTTTTGCCTCTCCTGTACTGGATTCCCTGTTTCCTGTTATAATGTTTTCCTCTCTCTTAGTTAACTGCCTCTTTATGGTAGGTCACATCCTCCAGGAGCATCCTGAGAAAGGTGAATGTGAGGTTAATTTTTTAGGAACTAACATTTCTGGAAAATGCTATTATTACATTCCACTCATTTGATTATATAGAATTCTAAGTTGAAAATAATTCTCCCTCAGAATTCCAAACATATTAATCTGTTGTCTTCTTATTCCTGTTGCTGAGAAAGTCTGATGTCATTCTGGTTCCTGGTCCTTTGTATGTAATCTCCTCTGAGAGATTAGGATCTTCCCTTGATACTAAGTGTTTTGAAATTTCACTACAATATCCTTCTCTTTCTGTTGACTTTTACAGAAACTCAGTCAGCTCTTTCAATCTGTAAACTCATGTCCTTCAATTCTAGGGAAATTTTTTGTTATTTTTCATTAATAATTTTTCCCCTTTGTTCTCTTTCTTGAACTCTTATTAGATAAATGCCAAACTTCTTTAATAACCCTATACTTTTCTTACTTTTTCATTCTATTTGTCACTCTTTGACCTTTTGTTATATCCATGACAGTTTTTCAACCTTATCTTCCAAGACTTCTATACATTTTTTAAAAAATTTCTATGATAGTTTTAAGGGTACTCTTTTGTTTGACTGTTTCTTTTTATATCATCCCTTTTTCATTCTATTTGTCACTCTTTGACCTTTTGTTATATCCATGACAGTTTTTCAACCTTATCTTCCAAGACTTCTATACATTTTTTTAAAAATTTCTATGATAGTTTTAAGGGTACTCTTTTGTTTGACTGTTTCTTTTTATATCATCCTGTTCTCTATTCTGTTTGATAATATTAACTATAAGTTTGGGATATGTTTTTAACGTTTTCTGTTCTCTACATTATCATCTCTCTTTTCTTCCAAGCTCTTTGAGCTCTTTTATATTAGGGGCTTTTCTAAAGTGTTTTGTATTCATTGACTGTTTATTCAAACATAAGAGTGATACGCTCAAAAGCTAACTGGAAGGTCTAAGGATGGGGGTAGACTTATTGACTGATGGGCTTCAGTATAAAGTAATGATGCAGAAAGTCAGCTTTTTCATTAGGGAATTCCAAATGTTAGTATCTATAAGGCGTTTCTCTTACACTAAACCATTTTCTTTTTTCTTTTTTTTTTTTTAGCTGGCCAGTAAGAGGATCTAAAACCTTGATCTTGGTGTTACCAGGTGGTGCTCTAACCAACTGAGCTAACCAGCTCAGTTGACATTTATCTAATATGAGTTCAGCACTAATAGATCATTTTCTGAGAGAAATATCTTCCAGTTCTTGCCTTGGTTGGTGTACAGATTTGCATGCCATCATTAAGTGAGCCAAGAAGCAGAAAGGCAGCTGGGGGATCTCGAGATCTCACTGTCTGGTCTATTAGGTAGCCTCTCTGTTTTCAAAATGGCATCATCACTATTCTCGGCTATGCCTAATGTCCTCAGGATAAAAACCTGTCAAGTACAACTTCTCAGTAGAATAGACTTCCAGGCTTCTGCCAGGTTACATGCTAGATGGAGGGGGATTGGGCAGGGATGGGTAGTTGCCAGGTTGCATAAGGTTAGGGAGAAATCATCTTATGTCTATTTCCAACTAGTCATACTGTCCACAGTTCCACCCCGCACCCCTGCCCTCAGTGATGCATAATGCCTTCAGTTCCTAAGCATTTCAAAGGTTCAGCTCCTAATTGGGCATGATTCTTTTTGGTTTTACACTCTTAAAGCTTAGGTATCAACTTTCTCTTTTTTCTGAAGACAGTTACAACTCATCTGTCCATTTTTCATATTCCAAAAATATTTTTGTCTTTTTCTATTTCTACTTGAAGGGCTACACGTATAATCCTTCTGTTGATTTATTAGGATTTGAGTGAAACTGGCAATAAATGAATGTGTTAATCTACTATGGTTAACCAGAAGTCAGATACTACAATCTTAACACTATTTAATGCTTAAAAACTTCATTCAAATATTTTCTTTTCTTCTTATAATCAGGATTAAGCTATTACCTTGATAGTCACATTTATCAGATACTACAATCTTAACACTATTTAATGCTTAAAAACTTTATTCAAATATTTTCTTTTCTTCTTATAATCAGGATTAAGCTATTACCTTGATAGTCACATTTCTATTCTAATAAATAGAAAGCTTCCTAGTTCATCAACCACAGAGAAAATAGCTCAAACTTTGCCATATTAGTAGGAGAGAAAAAACAAGTGGTTTATATATAATTTCCAGCATTACTATCACTCAGATGGACAAATTTTTTAAAATTACAGTAATCAAAAACAGACCTTTCAGCACATATAATTAAATGAAAGCTTAATAAAGAATATTTTGCAAGAGCCAGATGTGCTTATGTCATGATTGTTGCTTTCTTTGGAACAATTTTTCTAATATAACAAGCCTCTAAAGAAATTAAAGTTTCATAATTCTGTATGCAATGACTCAGTGGCAAGAAAAATTCCCAAGTAAGAGTAAGTCAAACTGGTACAACTTAAGCAGAAAAAAAAAAAAAAAGGATGCCTTTTTTTTTTAAATACTATTATATTCTTTCCTTAGAATTCAGCCAGGTGTCTTCAAAAGAGGGGCAGGTGAAGCTTCTGAAAAATTTTTGCTTGAGTTAATCTAGTGAAGAAAAGTTCTGTACTGAGTGGAGTAGAGATGTTTAGGAGTTGAAAAAGGGTCGGCTATAGTAGCTGATATCATCTTAGAGATGCAAGAATTCTTAGATACTATCTGTCTTCAATTTACCTAATAATTCAAAAATCAAAAGAAAATTCAATTTTGGTCAATCTTGAGTCCTTCAGGTAACTCCAACGAGTGAAAAATACAGGAAAACAAATCTTTGGAGGCTAATCTATTCTTTTTAAGATGACTAAATTCAGGGATCCTTCAAATTTATTGAGCAATACAGTTGTTTTTTAGAAATACGGCAATGTTAATTGCTTCCTCCAAATCTCCAATAATCATTTAGGTTGTACCTAAGAGAAGCAAGACCCCACAAACTCTGAGATTCCTCTGAGCTGGTTCTTGTGAGTCATGATTACTGATACATTAGAGGCAGGGAGAAGGATAGCCACATTCCATAAAACTTACAAAGCTGGATAAACTGGACAGTAGAATATCAGGTAAGATTTAGTAGAATGAGCCTTGAAATAAAAATCAGAAAATGGAATCCAATGAAAAGATAGAAGGTACTCATGAAAATTAAAATACTTATATTCTAACAAATGATTTTAGTTATAAATATTCTCATCAGATTAAGGATTTTAAATTTGACTTGGATAATAATAATGTCATTCATTGAATAAGTTTATAAAACAATTTCACAGTTCACCTTCTAAGCTAATATCAATTGAATGTGTATTCTATGTGCAAGACTCTATGCTAGGAGCTGAGGAGGATTAAAAGTGTTGGACCAAACATATAGCTCTGGAGGGTATATAAAATGTAATATCCTTAACACTTGCTTTTCACCTTTCTTGTGGTGCTTATCACTTCCTTTTAACCTTGTGTCTAGTTATGCATATATATCTTATTATGCTTGATAGACTGGAAGCTTATTGAAGATGTAATCAATCTAATTATTTTTGAATGCCTAGCACCAAGAACGGTGCCTTGTAAA